TTATTAAAAACATTAAGATTTTTTAAAGCTTCATTTAGACATGGGGGGTGAAATCTTCTACTCTAAATGGGTCAAGATGATTGCTAAAGTTATGCAGTGGCGCAATGGTTAGAGCTGTTGCCCCGCATCAAGAAGGTTCCGGGTTCTCCTCCCAGCCTGGGACATTCCTGTGTGGAGTTTGCAATTTCTAAGACTTTTTTAAAGCTTCATTAAGACAAGGAGGCTAAAACGATCAATTCTAAATGGCTAAAATGAAATAGGTGCATTGACAGCAAACAGCCACCGGAGGGCAGCATTTTCCCCACCTTCTCTTTATTCCTTACTGCTGGTTGTGGCCAGCAGAGAGCGCAAATTTCCCATTCTTTTAAGGAAAAAACAGTGTTTGGAAGAAATTAGTGTTTCTTCTAAGGAAGTCTTTTATCTTTACCAATACAGGTTCATCCCCTTCCAATCCTCCTCCTTCATAATATTAGAATTCCCAAAATGTTTATTAAAAATATTAAGATTTTTTAAAGCTTCATTTAGACATGGGGGGGGGGGGGGGGGGGGGGGTGAAATCTTATAACGTGAATGGGTCAAATTGAATTGCTAAGGTATGCAGTGGCGCAATGGTTAGAGCTGTTACCTCGAATCAAAATAGTCCCGGGTTTGCTCCCGGCTAGGTATATTCTTGTGTGGAGTTTGCATTTTCTAAGACTTTTTTAAAGCTTCATTAAGACAAGGAGGCTGAAACGATCTATTCTAAATGGCTAAAATGAAATAGGTGCATTTACAGCAAACAGCCACCGGAGGGCAGCATTTTCCCACCTTCTCTTTATTCCTTACTGCTGTTTGAGGCCACCAGAGGGCGCAAATTTCCCATTCCTTTAAGGAAAAAACAGTGTTTGGAAGAAATTAGTGTTTCTTCTAAGGAAGTCTTTTATCTTTACCAATACAGGTTCATCCCCTTCAAATCCTCCTCCTTCATAATATTATAATTCCCAAAATGTTTATTAAAAACATTAAGATCTTTTAAAGCTACATTTAGACATGGGGGTGAAATCTTCTAATCTGAATGGGTCAACCTTAATTGCAATAGGTATTCAGTGGTTCAATGGTTAGAGCTGTTGCCTCGGATGAAGATGGTCCCGGGTTCGCCTCCCGGAATGGGATGTTCCTGTGTTGAGTTTGCATTTTCTAAGACTATTCTTAAGACTTTTTTAAAGCTTCATTAAGACAAGGAGGCTAAAACGATCTATTCTAAATGGCTAAAATGAAATAGGCGCATTTACAGCAAACAGCCACTGGAGGGCAGCATTTTCCCACCTTCTCTTTATTCCTTACTGCTGTTTGTGGCCACCAGAGGGCGCAAATTTCCCATTCTTTTAAGCAAAAAAACAGTGTTTGGAAGAAATTAGTGTTTCTACTAAGGAAGTCTTTTATCTTTACCAATACAGGTTCATCCCCTTCAAATCCTCCTCCTTCGTAATATTATAATTCCCAAAATGTTTATTAAAAACATTAAGAGAAAATAGTGGCCATCCAAGTATGTCAGCATTTAATCACCAATGCTCTGTTTGAGGAATTTCAGTCTGGTTTTAGAGAGTATCACAGCACTGAAACTGCATTAGTGAGAGTTACAAATGATATTCTCATGGCCTCAGATAAGAATCTTGTGTCTGTTCTAGTCTTGTTAGATCTCAGTGCTGCCTTTGACACAGTTGATCACAATGTTCTTTTAGAAAGACTTGAACATGTTGTAGGGATCAGAGGAACAGCGTTAGGCTGGTTTAAATCCTACCTGTCTGACAGATTTCATTTTGTGAACGTACATGACAAATTGTCTTCATACTCCAGGGTTACTTGCGGAGTACCACAGGGTTCAGTGCTTGGACCAATTCTTTTTACTATATATATATATGCTCCCATTTGGTAAAATCATTAGACAGCATGGGATAAACTTCCACTGTTATGCTGACGATACTCAGCTATATTTATCCATTAACCCTGATGAACCTAATCGGTTGCGTAGATTACAGGCTTGTCTTGAGGACATAAAAAATTGTATGACTCTAAACTTTTTGCTTTTAAATCAAGACAAGACGGAAGTTCTCATCTTTGGACCAGAAATCCAGAAAAGGAAATTGCTTAGCCAATCGCCTGACCTTAAAGGCATTACATTAATCTCCGCGAACAAAGCAAGGAACCTTGGTGTTATCTTTAACCAGGGCATGTCATTCAAATCCCAGGTTTCACAAGTTTGTAGGATTTCATTTTTCCACCTTCGGAATATTGCTAAGATTAGAAGCATACTTTGCAGGAGTGATGCTGAAAAACTAGTTCATGCATTTATTACATCAAGACTGGATTACTGTAATTCATTACTCTCAGGAAGTCCACAGAATGTAGTTAAAAGTCTTCAGCTTGTGCAAAATGCTGCAGCTAGAGTTCTGATGAGAATTAAAAAGAGAGATCATATCTCTCCTGTCTTAGCTTCTCTACATTGGCTACCTGTTAAATTCAGAATAGATTTTAAGATCCTTCTTCTCACATATAAAGCTCTTAATAATCAAGGTCCATCATACATTAGGAATCTGATTGTTCCATATGTTCCTAACCGAGCACTTCGCTCTCAGACTGCAGGTCTACTGGTGGTTCCAAGAATATCTAAAATTAGGATGGGAGGCAGATCTTTTAGTTATCAGGCTCCTCTCCTGTGGAACCAGCTCCCAGCCTTAGTCCGTGAGGCAGACACTTTGTCTACTTTTAAGAATAGGCTTAAAACATTTTTATTTGATAGGGCCTATGGTTAAAATCTGATGTTAGCCTAAATCTGGACAAGTGGGGGAGTACAGGGAGGTGGAGTGTACAGTCGGTAAAGACGGCTCTCCCTTGCCCTGCCTCCAACATGCGTCCATCTAAATAGGATAGATTATCCAGAGTTATCTCTGTAGTTATGCTGCTATAGGCTTAGACTGCTGGAGGATACACTGACCACTTCTCACACTCCACTACTTTCTTCTACAATCTGCTCTTTAACTGTATTATTTTGTCCAATTTCAGCTAACTTTATTTTCTCTGTAAGTGTTTTTCTCCCCAGAAGATGCGACAATGACGTTCTGCTGAGCTGTGGTGGCCTCATGGAGGGGGCCATCGACTAGCACACTGCAGCTAACCACTTAAACATTCTCTCTCTCCTGATAATGGCTTTTTGCTTTCCTTGACTTTTGATGTGCTAATACTAGTTTATCCGTTTAATTATAGATTCACTAGGATAAATACAATAAAGTTTATCTTTCACCAAATAGAATATTTACTAAGACATCACAATATAACTGTAGACACATTACTTGTCCGTGTGTGTGTGTGTGTGTGTGTGTGTGTGTGTGTGTGTGTGTGTGTGTGTGTGTGTGTGTGTGTGTGTGTGTGTGTGTGTGTGTGTGTGTGTGTCTGCTCTGTCTTCTCGATCCCCAGTGAGTCGTGGAGGATGGCTGCTTATACTGAGCCAGGATTCTCTGGAGGTTTCTTCCTGTTAAAAGGGAGTTTTCCTCTCCACTATCGCTTTATGCTTGCTTGGTATGAGGATTGCTGTATAGTCACTGACACCAGTCAGTGACTTGATGCAATTTGCTGGGTTCCTTATATAGGAAACATTATTTCTGATTGGCGTAATGAACTGACCTGAATTGGAATTTTTATTATGTGAAGTGCCTTGAGACGACTCTTGTCGTGATTTGGCGCTATATAAATAAACTTGAATTGAATTGAACCTTTTTTCTTTGTCAGTCGGCACACATCCAGAAGTCAAACTGCTATTAATCATGTGCAGAATTAGTGGCACAATAGCTAAAAAGACATCCTTAAGATATCCTCTTGGTGATCCACTTGGTTTTGTCTCCTCCATTAATCTGGCTATGCATTATAGTGAAACTGGGTGATAAGGAACCACCAGCCATCACTCAAGAGATGGACAAGAGCTTTGCACGTCAGCTGTAGGCAGGAGAGCTCACAAAATTGCTAATTTCTCAAAGAAAATTTTGAGAAAATTGTTACGCACAGAGTTCGATGCCTGGGCAGGAGAACAATCATCCACATTCAATACAGAGGTAATGGCAGCATACAGAACTTATTGCTGTTCACGGACACACGTTTGAAATAATAGTATGGCTTTTCAGATTTGACAATTTCCTGATAGGATTTCCCAACTTTCCCTTAGGGTAATTATACTTGCAGCTTGTCCTGTTGCCATTTTCTTTTGCACCTCCTGCATCCCCTTCTTTCAGCCCGAATGCGGTCCATTAACCACAAGATAGCAGCCCGATTCCGCTTTATCTGTCGAAGAGGCGCAATAGCATCCAAATGTTTGTACAGGTCTCAATAAATAACTTAGGAGTCCATCCGAAGAAGACCAGTCGCCGGAAAAAGGCCCAACGTTAAAAGGGAATTAAAAGTAAGTACGGGTTCATCAAATCGTCAAACATGTTTTTTATGCATCAGTTTGATTTTATTGGGACACGAACACTCAGAGAACGCTGTGAAGCATCTGGGTGGAGTATGTCACCTCATTGCTTTTAATTCCATTATTACCTTACTCCTGCATGCATGGCTGACTCTCCCAGGCTGCTGCCGCCTGCTTTTTTATTGTGAATTTGATTGGACTTCCTTATCGGCTGGCAACAGGCAGGAAAGAGAGCTGGGCCAAAGATCCTCCTCAGTGCTGGCAGCCAGGAGCATGTTTGAAACAGCAAAGCTGCAGATCAGAAGTGATTAATGTAGGCTGCCAGTCTGACTGCTCCATGCGTGAGCATCGCTGCACCGTGCATGAGGTTACTGCTCTGTGTGTGTGTGCGTGTGTGTGTGCGTGCGTGCGTGCGTGCGTGTGTGTGTGTGTGTGTGTGTGTGTGTGTGTGTGTGTGTGTGTGTGTGTGTGTGTGTGTGTGTGTGGGAGGAGCACTCGCTTTCTGGCACCTGATGCATGATGCACATCAAGCCCATACGCTCTCAGCAGTCAGTGTGTGAATGAGAGCCTTCAGTCGGGACGATTACGGAGGCTGGATGGATTCGCTCTGCGCGCGCTCAGCCTCTCCCTCTCTCCAGCTTTTGTCTGCTCACACAGCCCACTGTGCGTCCTGCAGCCGCCTCTCTGCGTTTAATCCAAACATTTACTCCTGTCCTACTGGTGAATCAGAATCGTCGAGACCGTGCTGACCGTGCATTTTCTGGTTGCGTGGAAACTAAAAGCCTTCTCGCCCCTGAAGAGGTGCAGCAGCTTTCTAAAATTATTTTTGTTTGGAGCCAACGGCGCGTCGCGGTTCCCGGAGCTGCACAAGTTAAACAAGAGGACCGGTGCACGAATCATGGAGCGGAGAGGAAAAGCAGCCTTAAAGACGTGAGTGTGCGTAATTTAAAACCAGAACTAGTTTCAGTGTTGGGATTTATGTTCTAATAACTGAAATGTAAGCATGGCCTGATGTGTCTCTTAAATTCACAATGTTAGTGAGTGAAACCAGGGATGCCTCCAGAAATTGTTGATGAGGGTGACCAGATGGGGCCAAAGAAAATTTTGGGGTGGCACACCAAATTTGTCCTTGTAACTCAGGGAGAGTTTAGCCTGTGGTGATGCATTGCATTCCTCCTTTATTCTTTTATTTATTTTTTATTAGAAAAAAATAAAAAAATAAATAAAAATAAAAACATCATGGCACTTAAATACAAATTGAGAAACACAAACATTTCAGAAAAAACTTCAGTTATTTGAAATGTTATTTACATTAGTTAAATTCACCTGTTGCTGTCTTCACACACACACAAAAAACTATGGAGATATAAAATTTTTGTAATGGTGATCAGCAGAAACTTTTTTTAATTCTGATTATTTCTTTACTTGTTAATTGTATATATTTTTATTGTGTATTACATTTATGTCTTGAATAAATAAGATTAATTTATGGTTTGAGTGAACAACAATATGATTTATTAACACTGGTCTACCCTGGGTGGGGGCAGCAAATTTCTAGGGGTTACCATGGCCACTGCTGGTCACCCCTTGGGAGCGCCACTGAATAAAACCTACATTTAGCAGTAATACTTCATTTTGCACATACGTGCACGTTTTCAGAGGTTGTCATCCTTAAAACAAAAACAAAGTGTTGTAAGAATCAAAATATCCAGTGATAGACAGACTCAAGTTCAAGAGCAAATGCAGTTTTGTGTTAGATTTACACACATTTACGCCCCTCCTGCTTCTTCCACACTCCTCTTTATGAACCCTCCCGTGACAGGGAATGACTTCTGATGCCTGCACAAAATCCATGTAATCTCAACACAGTAGATATTACCATGATAAATGTGCTGCCTTTCAGAGCCAGTGATGTTTGGGTTTGATCCATGTTAATGCTCCTCATGGAGCAGGTGCCAGTGGCTTCAGCGGCCACTGACAGCAGAGGATTTATGGAGTGAGAGTCTGACCTGTGGCTTCAGTATTTATTTATTCCAGAGTGCTGCTTTTGTTGCTTAAATTAAAAGCAAGAGGAGAATTTATGATGGTGAGAAATAAACAAAAGAGTCCATGAATTAAGAAATACTGGCAAAGCATCAATTTGACTTATTGCTTTTAGACTTTGTGGCGCCCTGCCCTGCTTCTCATTAAGCCTACATTCTCTGATCTTGTCCATGAGCGACTTTCCTCTATCTTCCAGTGCTTATTCTCCACCAGCTGCGTGTCTCTCTCAGCTCGACAATTTCCTGGATATCTTATTAGTGTCATGCAATGTTCTCTGGGTTGTAATTGTAATCTTACCCCCCCCCCCCTTCTCTTCTTAAATCCCCTTGATATCATACTTTCTCTCACAAGCCAGCGCTCATGTGTACAATTTCACTTCTTGTCCACATGTTTTCTCCTCCTTTATCACCAACCCTTCTCCTTCTGCTCCCTAATTATCTCTTGAGGTGGCATGTGATGGGAAAACCACAGCCCTAGAGCATATTGTTAGCCGCGCAAGACCGTGCACTCGCCCGGGTGTTTGGCCCCTCGTACACCCAGCTGACACAGAGTTAAGAAGGAAGTTATTTGAAGGAATTTCAAGCGGAAAACATTCGTTTGTCTTTGATTTGGATGAAGATTTGGGAATGAACTCCTGTGTTTTTGCATCACACATTCTATTGGTATCTCTTACATTTTATTTGCTTCATTCATCCCTCCTCACAAGCAAAACCAGCTCTACCACACGCTGTCCTCAGCCCATCAGTGCTATGTGATACTTTCAGGTACTAAAAGGTCCATTTCGTTTTTCTAATCCTGATAAGTGGATCTTGCCGGTCTCTTGGAATACATTAAGAAGTCTGGTTGACTCCCTGTTTCCATTTGGTCTCAAACCAGACGGGGCATCACATAGTTGGGTGTATTGGCCTTGTTGCTGGTTAGGATGTTCGCATTTATCTCAACAAAAGGATAGGGTGGCCAAAAGCTAATGCTACACTCACTCAGGGAGTTTTTCTTTAGGTGGATTAGTAACAGGAGAAGCCTGATCAGCTATTAATGAAGTGTGTCAGGATGGGTGGATCTGCTTCTTTCTGTGGTTGAGGTACAAAATCTAAACTTTAACTGACAGAAGTGATCCAAAAGCTTTGGGTTCAAGGAATAAGATGACTGGACTTTTTTTTTCTGATGATGAACAAACTGGCAAAGGTGTATAAAAAACAGTCAAACTTTGAATGAGCATTTTCTACATGGTGTCACATGTTAATGCAGCCTCTGTGTACTAAAATAGTCCTGCACTGCAGGGATGTCAATTATAAAAGAGGCATGGTGACACCAGCGTATGCTCCTTGCTTGTTTATTGTGCTCTGTTGATGTGAGCTTTTATGTTTTGAACTGTGAGGTTTTGTTGAAGTAAAACAAAGGCCTGTTCTTTTAGTGACCCTGAAAGGAGTATGTGTTTTTCCCACTGCCCCCACACTGAATTTAGACACGGCACCTTCCTTTAGATGGCAGAGCAGCTGTTATTCACCCACATTTTACATCTTTAAAAAGCAAGTTTGCCAAGGAAACGTTTCTTTTACTTCTTATTTTTTAAATACAGTTGGTCACTCTGAGTTTTCAGGCTGAACATGAAAATAGTCTTTACGCCTGGTTTCTGCATTAGCCGCTGAAAGGAAAACAGACGGGGAAACACATGGATTAGAAAAGCCACACAGATCTGCATCACACTGTAAATTAGCATTCATGGACTCCATCATGACGGGGAAGGCTGATGTAGGTTTGGCGTCCAGGAAACAGGAGAGTTAGCCTCGGCTAGTAAAAGCTAACCGTTAGCATTAGCAACTCCACCACGCAGCAGAACTCCTCCAGGCTTGTGTTGTTTGTGAAGACAAAACATCAACGTTGCAGAGCAAACAGCATCAGTGGAAGAGTTACGTCATTGTTAGCCAATCAGACTTAAGATGTCTGAATATCAGGAAATAATAATGAATAAGACTCCCAATTCAGCAGTTTTGTGCACCCCACTCCTCTGGCTAACTTCTACTTCCTGAAATGGGAGCGCCAGAGCTTTTTTCCCTCAGAGATCGACTCAAAAAGCATTCCTTTGTACTAGAGAACACAGCAAACGTATTGAAAAAATGAGTGAATTTGGTCTTCAACGTGCACCATCTGTGATTTTTCTCCTGCTCTTCGTTTCACAGGTTCCATTGTAACCAGGGAGGTTGATGTGAGCTTCCGTCCTCGGCTCTGGTGGTTTTCCGTGGAGCATGCCCCAATTCCACAATGCCCCTGCTTGCAGACTGGCTGCTGCGCCACTCGGTGGTCATGTGTTTGCTGCTGCACAGTTTGGTTTTAATGACGTTCTGCTTCCATCACGCCGCCACCACCTGTTCCAAGAGGTGCTACTGCTCTGAGAGCGAGCTCGGTGGCAAGACGGTTCGCTGCAGCAACCTGCAGCTGACGGAGATCCCAGAGGACATCCCCAACGACACGCAACATTTCTATCTGGACTTCAATCTCCTTACCTCGGTTCCAACAAACGCCTTTGTGGGTTTAACCCATTTAGTTGAACTGGATCTATCCCACAATGAGCTGAGCCAGCTAGAACTCGGAGCGTTCAGAGGCCTCAGCTCCTCTTTACAGTTCCTAGATCTGTCATCAAACAAGTTAAAAAAATTTAACCCTGACGCTTTTGAGGGTTTGCGAGCTCGTGCCAACCTCACAAACAATCCATGGCATTGTGACTGCAATTTGCAGATGGCGCTGCCTCGTGTGGACTTGGAGCCTGCGTCACTGACTGGCATCGTGTGCCAGACTTCCAATCCAGAGGAAATAGGAGTCAAAGGACTCGCCTTTCTGTTGGCACCAGACATAGACTTGTGCAATGTGATGAAGAGGACTACAGATGTGGCCATGCTGGTTGTCATGTTTGGCTGGTTCACTATGGTCATCTCCTACCTGGTCTACTATGTTAGAGCAAACCAGGAGGACGCACGCAGACACTTGGAGTATCTGAAGTCACTGCCCAGCAGGCAGGGCAAGTCCGAGGAGTCCTCCACTATTAGCACTGTGGTGTGAGGCTGCAACTTAAAGTGCATCTCATAGTGAACAAAGCTTTTGGTATAACCCACACCTACACCATTTTCATGAGTTTCAGTTGTGCTCAGCGTTGCCACTGAGCCAAGTTGTGCAAAAATAAACATGCGTCCAGAAACCCTGGCAGATGTAAGATGGTGCAGATGAATAATTCAACCTTCAGCAGACCATTAGGACATTTTGTTGGCAGAGTTGATGGCCTCGTCAGTGCGCTGAGGGAATAAAAGCAGTGGCATAGTTTATTTTTTATTTTTATTTTTGCAAATTCCAAATATGGGATACAAATGGGATTTGTCCAGTGGTGCATGCACCATGATGTGCCTCAAAAAAACCGACCAGGAGGAAACATCTGACAGTGAAACGAGACAGAAGACAAGGCCAGAACAAATGGACAGGTGCTGTCCAACAGAAGTCCCTATGAGGACACACACACACACACACACACACACACACACACACACACACACACACACACACACACACACACACACACACACACACACACACACACACACACACACACACACACACACACACACGAGGTGAGGGAGAGGACACTGTCACATTTACTTGCTCTTTTGAAGGTTTTTTACTGAACAAACGGACTCATCTGACAAAACATATTTCTAGGGGTTCAGCTCACAAGAGAAGATGACGCTCTGTATTTGAATTGATAGAATGAGACGAGATTCTAATGATATTAATAAATTTATGCTGGAAAAATTCTTTAAGTGTTCTTGGAGCATTTACCACAAACTGGCATTTCTCTCTTGATTCATTACAAGTCTCTTTAGACCTAAAATAAACATATAAATAATAAAACAAATAACAATAAAAATGAATTTTATTTATCAGCACCTTTCACAGAAAGACACCTAACAGCAGCAAAGAAAAATCCTTGATCAACCAGTTAGAATGGTGACCTTCTAACTTTACCCTCCATAAATAAAAAAGCAAAAGTAACCCAAAACATAAAGGAATACTTTGCAACTTTTTCATATTCTTAAATCATTTCCTTGAGCTAGTAGGTGCTAAAATGACCCTTTACAGTGTTAATGAAAGGTCACCAGCCTATATCGCCCCCCTGTGGCCAGAATATTCCACTTGCAACTTCAGACTGGCAGTCTGCTTCCAGCACGTTTCCTGATGTTTCAGATCATGAACACAGCTTAACCCTGCTTTCATACTGAAGCATCAGCGGCATGAAATGGCACTGCTTCAAACAAAATCCATTATGGTCAATGGACTGTTTCAAACCAGCAGTGACGCAGCAATTTCCAGGCGCGTCCCAGAAGCCTCACGTCACGCCACGCTGCTACAGATAGAACTGGGTTCTATTTGTACAGCGAGCCGCTTCTGGGATGCGTCAATTTCCTCACTTAACGTAGGGCTAGACAGGAAATCGCACACTTTCAGTGTAAAAATCCCTGGTGATTTTCAAAATAAAAGTACTGCTGCGATGCAATTTCATATATATGAGGCTTATGTGTGACCCAACGGCTTATTTACTCACAGCATCGTTTCAGAAGTGCAGTGGTGTGTTTTTCATGACTTTAATCCTAGCAGTGGAGAACAACAACATCACATATGACAAACGGTAATATCAAACTGATTTCCTTCTTTTTGGTTTAATGGCAGATTGCATAAACAAACCATGACCTGAAGTCTCAAGGGATCTTGTGATCTCGCAAGTTCAGCGAAAAGCACAGCGGGGAAGCCGTGCCACTGCCAAGACTCTCCCGGTATGAAAAGGACCGCTTTGAAGTTCGCAAGTGAACTGTTCCGCTGCTGTTTTGCACTGCCGATGCTTCCAGTATGAAACCAGGGTTAGTGATGTATCACTCCTGTAGACACTAAGGAAGGTTGGGAGACATTTCAACTTAAAAAAGGACACAAGGGGGTGCTAAAAGCAAGCCAAGACGGCCTAGTTCCCCTTTAACTCTCTCAGGCTCAAAATAAGTTTTGATAAAAGGACGAACAACTAAGTCCTTCAGGGGTACGTCTGAGTTAAAAATTGCTCATGAAATACGTATGTGGAGTAACCAGGCAGGTAGGTTTTGACTGTTTCAAATCTGCAACGCCTGCCGCTAGAGGGTTAAATCATAACTACATTCAGCACTGCAGACTCATTCCTTTCTTTTAATCCACATTACCAAGAGTATTTTGTAAAGAGGGGGAACTCAACAGAGCACTAGTATGAAAGATTGGTGTATTTGTTATCCCTCCAAATTAAATGTCAAGAAACTTGACATTTAATTTTTCTCAAACGGCGTCTCTGGCAGCAACACAACTGGTGAATCACACCATCAAAACATCAAAAAGAAGTTGGTTTGAGAGATGAAGATGGAAAACAACAAACAGGAAAGAAATGAAATAGAAAGAAAAGGAGGAATACTTTATTTCCCTTATTCCTGATTAGTTTTTACTTAAGTTGAAATTGCCAGACAGAAAACAGCTGTTAGTTTTCCTCTGTAGAAACCCCAGGAGCTCTCCCTGATTATGTAGCTTATCATGAATGGTTTCTGGATGGGGTTGAGATCTTACTGTGGGTTGTGAGGCATCACAATGAGGTTCTGATTCACAGAATACAAATGGAAATTGTTCTCTGACTGTTTTGACACAAGGTGGTCATGAATGAGGAAAAGATGCATTTGTTGCACGTTCATCATAAACCTGATATTTTGTGAGTTAGAAGCTAAAAAGTTTGGAAACATCTTCTGACTCAGCAGTTTTTTTTTTCATCTAAGAGCTTTACGTAATATGCACCAACTGTGCCTCGGTATGGTTTCATGAGTTTTATAGATAACATTTAAGAGGTCACGACCTGCACATCCACTTAGAGAGCTGCCATGAGAGTGCAGCTGCATTTCACCAGAGTGTATGGTAAAGAGTATGATGCACAAATGCATTTAAGTGTCTGTGGATGAAATCATCGATACAAACCATGACAGGGAAATGCGTCTGAGTGGAGGCATAATTAAATCCATTACAGACCGGGCTCCAAGATGGAGTTCGTCGATGGACTATTCTCCGACCAGAAAAGCCTGCTGCGGTGCTGAATAATGAAATTTGATGTCTGAGATGTAGGAAATGGTTTGTCAACAAGGGGTTTCCTTGTGTCTGACACAGCAATACCTTCAGAGTAGAGCCGGTCAAATAAGTTATTCATTATGCCCATAAAAAAACACTTGTGCAGAAAGACCAGGGCTGCACCCATCATCCAGTGTGACCCAGTTCTTGGGGAGAAATTAAGGGAGAATGCCGCAAGGGATCATTGCCCCGTCTCTGCAGCCTGACTTCCATTTGGTGGGTGAAGCACTTCCCAAATGCCCTTGAATAACCAAAGGACTCACAGTTGGTGGAAACTTATTCTTTAACTCCGTAATTTCCTCACTGAGATATAGAAATATGTAGTTGTGTTTCTTATAACAGACCTCCTAGTGCTGTATGCTGTAGTTTTCTATTCTTAGTTCAGATCCTTTGAAGGTTTCTGTGTTACTAATAGCTAATTTATTACCTGTAACAGGTAAATGAACAACCTCAGTTTGGTGAAACAGAGATTCAAACTGATCAGGTTGATCTAAGTAGATTAATGTAATCCTGAAACAAGTGTAATGAACTTTCACACAGCTGCAAATGTATGAATGTACATTAATTTACATAAAACTATTTGCAGTGGAAATTGGAAGCAGCGCTAGCTATCTGTAGCATTTTGAGATCAGCGTGTATTAAACATAGTTTAATTGTACTATATTCCTCTATAGTAACAGTGTGATGCAAATGTAAAAGGTTTTAAAAGACTGTTTATACTTTTTGAGATTGAAATTCTTTTAGGATGGCAGAAATACATTTTCATCATGACCCAGCTAATCTTTTTTCACCCCAAACTAAAGCTATTCAAAAAGCTGTTTAAACCAACTGAGATGTTAATGTCTGACTTTCTAATGGAAATACCTCTTTTCATTTTTGAGCAATCCTTTTGTCTATAGGCAGAGAAAAAACAAAATAAAACCAAGGTGATGGTATGTGACAGCTACAGACATTTTATCAAGGATGCTGCATCTTTACTCTCGAGCATTTCTTAGGATTATTTGAGGTAAATTTACAATACTGTTAAAAAAAATTTGTTTTTTCAATTTTCTTCTTGAAAGAATGACATGCCATTCCAAACGTATGGCTCTCTAAAACTATCAATATCAAAATTAGATCTTTACTTCAAAACTAAAACGAAATACTCATCTGCTGAGTTATTTCATTATTGATAGATGGAACGTGGCAATAAATAGAAGATTGTGTTCACGTAAATGCTTACTGAATTTAAAAAGTGTGAAAATAGCACCTGTTTATGTTTTAAGGTATTATGGTAAAAAGTGCCTGACAGCTGTGAAATATTGGCTACATTAGCTCAGCTTACATAACTGCTAAATAAATAATTTAGTGAAAAGAAATACTCAGTTTTCATTTATATTTTAACACTTAAAGTAACACAGAGCAGGTTTCTGCTCCTGGAATTACAAATGTCGTAAACAACCCTGCTGCATGTAGCGCTAACAACGAGCTAACACTAACATAAGCCAACTAATGCTAAAATAAACCACAAAATTAAAAGATCCACACTGTTGGACGAAAATATTTTTATTTACAAGTCCAGTAGCAACAAAGATAGGTCAAAATCTGGAAGTGGCTTTGTAGCCTCCTTTAGCTTCCTCTGAAGATTGGCGAACTGAAAATGCTAACCACTAGCATTACCGCTAACAGCCATAAAGCAGGTAAAGGTCATCCGCTAGAACACCTACTTGCTCCACAAAACTATCAAGTCTGGTTTTTGGTCAGCAGAGGGCTACCAAGAGCAAGAGTTACGGTAAAATGTTTACAATGTTTTCAAGTGTATAATTTATTTACCTTTTCATAATTTTACAAATAAAATATTAAAATTTAAAGGTTATTATTCGTGTCCAAATGTTTAAAGGACAAATAAAATGTCACAAAGCACTTCTTCTATATTTGTTAGTTATCTATTTCCAGAAAGAGTTGTTTTTACCTCCTACTGAATGATACCTGAGACCTGGCATCTCAACAACTGGCCACGCCCATCGGACAGCTGAGCCCACCCTACATAGCCGGGGGCACAGAAATATACGTAGACGCCCTGTGGACTGGCGCAGCCAATTAAAGCTGCCGTAGTTGCCAGCCGCCATCTTAGATGGGTCTATATTCGCCCCTACTGCATTGATGAAG